TAAGTGTTTAGCATAATTATCAATCCTGACAAATATTATGACCATTTACAGTGCAATAAAACATATTAAACACACAATCCTTCATAAACCTTCAAAACAGAACTGATTTAGTCTGAGATTTGTTTTAAAACAGTTACAAAAATATGTTTTAAGAAGGATTTGCTAATGTTCTCATTAAGTTATGAAAAGAAAACGATATTTCTGAATGTTCTCTGACCGTTCGACACACCCAGTTTTAAAAACGTTTTGTTTGTCAGTTTGTTTGGTTATGCAAAAATTCAATTTTCAAACATTATGCGAACGTCACTTTTGAATGATCTCTAAACAAGTTTAAACAACATTTAAAAAACGTTAGTCGAATGTCCAGAATGTTTCAGAAAAAAGGTTCCATGAACGACGTATAAATAATGTTTTTCTGCTAATGTTTTGAGAACATTATTAAAGACCAAAAACACTTTGAACAAACATTCTATTAACGTTAATATAACTATGAGTTAATATAACTATCACCAAAGTTCTGAGAACATTCACTATTAGACAGTTAAGAACTAGTTTGACCAGCTAGCAGTTAACAAGTGGATTACTTTTTGGATTCAAATTAGACCTACCTCTTTATGTGACTTTACAAGGTTAAGAAAAAATAGATGACTAAGCAGTTCATGCAACCGGCTCCTGTTTAAGAAGCAGTCTTAACCAGTGTTGGGAAGGTTACTTTGGAAATAAAACAGGTTACAGATTACAAGTTACCATATTTAAAATGTAATAAGTAGTGTAACTATTTCAAATAATTTACTAAAGTAATGTAACTGATTACATTTGATTACTTTTCTAAATTTCTAACGAATGTTTTCTACTGTTAATCATTTTGAAACATTTAAAGCAGGCATGGGTTAACCTTACAGTAGTGCTCACACACTGATAACATCAGACTTTCAGAATCCTTCTTCACTTGAATTAAGATAATAATTGAATTTTAAAGCACAGCCACCACAAAATCAGACTTTAGCACCTCTTTTTACTTCGAGGTTAAATACAGATTTAAAGGGGTCATATGATGCTTTTTTTAAAGATCATTATTTTGTGTATTTTGGTGTATATTTTTGTGTATTCTCCCTGACATGCTGCTTCAACACTAACTGCGGTTACTGAAACCACGCCCTCTTTCTTTGCGTGCACATTTGGGCGCATTATGCAAATATTTCCACATAGTGAGGTAGATATGTGGGGGCGTGTTAGAACGAGCCGTTTTAGGGGGGCATGGCAGAGTCTTAACTTTGATAAAGAATATCTCTTTGGTTTTGAGACTTTAGTCTTTGCAGCTTCAGGGATCTTATCTATGCACAATCAGCTTGTAACACTCCAAAGAGAAAGCAAAACTTGAAATCGCATCATATGACCCCTTTAAAATCAAAAGATTTAGTTTAATAGTTATGAATGTATGAACATAATATAACAGATTATAGTTACATTTATTTTGTAATTAAATTACATAGTTACTCACTGGTTTTAACACAGTGGCTATGTTCATGCAACTGGCTCCAGATCTTTTCTCATCTAATATTAGGATAGCAAAATAGACCTAAAGCGGTCTGATGAAAATCCTAAAACAATTAAACATCTAATGTGGTCTAGTTAACCTGATCTGTGGCCAGTTGCATAAAATGCTTGGACTAGTCTTACAACTTAGTCATCGTTTTACATAATATAAGATGTAACATAAAAACCTACATTGGTCTAATTTAAATCCGAAAAATACGACTCTTGGTCGGTGCTAGTTGGTCAGACTAGTTCTTATACAGTCTTAACATTGAGCTTAAGTTTATGCAACTGGCCCCGCTCTATTTTGATGCTGGTCTTATGATAGGCTAGTTTAACTTATCTGATCTGGTCTAATAACAGCTTAACTGATCTAATGTTGTGTTATGACAGTTAAACAGTGTTTTCTGTAAAGTGCATGAGTAAAGCGTTGAGTAAAAAACTTTTTACTGCAGCTTCAGCAACTGTGTTTAATTATAGGCTTTAAAACGGAGTCCAACCACAAATAGGGGCGGGGGTCTGGAACTGAGAGTCAGCGACTCAAAAACAAGTCATCCTCCACATCCTCTCATATGTTAGTAACGTTAGTTCCTTAGATCTATAAAAGAAAAACCCAGACAACAAACACCTAGGAATTTAAACAGCTGTGACAAATGCCTGATTTAAGTACAAAACAAGCTGGACAGTATATGAGGTGAAAAATAAGATGCAATATGCTCCACTGACCTGGACAAGCACTTCTAATTCTTCAGCTACGCAGGTGGAGAGCGCGTCTTCCGCGAGCGTCCGTGTTCTGCCGCGCCTCCGTTTATTTCTCTCTGTCCCGGGCGCCGGCCTCCGCCTTCTCATAAATATGAATTACTCCTCCGCTAAAGACATTTTAAATATTAAGTATCACTGACGTCATTTGGTTGCCGTCCAACCACTTGGCCGAACGTTCCCTTTGCCTAATTAATATTCATGAGCCAAACCTTCGCTGTAGTAGAATTCGGGGAAGGTTCACAAAAACACCCTTCAGCGAAACGTTGAATTGATTAAACTCTCATGTATGTAAACAAGAAACGACACACAGGCGGAAGAATAGGGGCTAATTATATGCATTCACAAAACAAAAACATGGGCATTAGGACACAACTGTTGTGCAACTGGAATCTGAAGACGTGACTAACAAAAAGTACCGTGGTAATAATGCAATGTTCTGCACACGTACCACAGTGACACTTGATAGCATTCCTGAATAACGTAGTAAAGGAGAGGGGTTTTGACATGTTATCTTTGTAATATCATATACAATACAAAATACAGTGCATTGGAGTACCATACAATTGGAATATGGCAATCATTCAGTACACCATGGTACCTTCACAGTATGTGTTTGTAAGGTGTGCATAGTTGCTTTTCTATAAAACACTGCTGTTTAGTTTTAAACCTACTGCAGACCAGGGTCTTGCATTATACAAACAAAACTCATCTATTGCTAAATCAGTGTTTGACATTACAGTATGCAGTATACAGTATGCTACAGGATATTCAACTCTGATTTCTCTCATAAACGAAAAGAGAACTATGGAAGTTTATATATTTATATATATACAGTGTTGGGGAAAGTTACTTTTAAAAGTAATGCATTACAATAATGCGTTACTCCATAAAAAAAGTAACTAATTACGGTACTTAGTTACTTTTTATGGAAAGTAATGCGTTACGTTACTTTTGCGTTACTTTTAAAATCTGGACAGGGCTTGGTTGTTTGTTTTTAAAATATAAAAGTTCTATTTTTGGCAAATATAAAAGCCTTTTCACACCAGAAGTGAAATGAATAAGCCTCAGGCTGAAGGGAAAGTACAGTAGAATGCAGAAGAAGACATTTCAACACACTTCAGCAATTAAAAAAAGACACACAAATGTTCGTCTAGAGTAATTTGTGCTTATTAGTACGGTTGAACTGGATCATCGAAGGGGAATACTGAATCTTTGTGTTTTTTTGTGTGTGAGTGAGATGAATTAATGCATATTCATATTTATTTTAGAAATACAATAACATCTGATTTCTCTCAACATGGAGACAGCAGAGCTGTCAGTCAATAAATTGGAAAAAAAAGTAACTTGCATTACTTATTTGAAAAAGTAACTCCGATATTCTCTTGTAAATTAAAAAGTAAT